GACGTCTTCATGCAGCACTAGCTCTTCAGCTTTGAAACAGATGAGCACCACCCTCTAGAGTCAGGAACGACTAGCACATATGTGTGAGGGGAACCTTTACCTATAATAAAGAATTGCAGCCATCTTGCAATTGTGATTTGTTTTTCAGCCAGATGACATATGACACACAATGACATCCCTTATAAATATTGGACAACTGATCCAATTGCATTTATTGGTTGTTTTGGGCAGCCCCCCCCCCCCCCCGGATTTCCAAAATGCCGGTCCAGTAATTTCAAGCATTGAGCAAGGACCTTCACATGCAACAATTTCGATGCAATATGTTAAACACAAGAATATTTTACATACCACCAACTTTGGTTTGCTTGACTTTAAAGAGCTGCATTTCTCAACCTTGGCAACTTTAAGACTTCAATTCCCATAATCCCTTTCTAGCATTACTACCTGGGGAATTCTGGGAATTTGAATCCATACATCTAAAAGTTTTCACAGTTGAGAAACACTGTTTAGATTTACAGAGACGATGGATCAGGTACCTGCCTTTTGTTGTTTTTCCTGTTTAATGCTGCCTGATTCTTAGAAACAAGTGTTGCAGTTTTCTTGGAAAAAGTTTTTAAGAGGTGATTTGCCATTACCTACCTTCTAGGGCTGAGAAAAATGATTGGCACCCAGTCGTGTGGGACTGGCTATTGATTGATGGAGGGCATGACAACACATCATGGAAAAGACACCACAAACGTTGCCATTGATCATTGCAACACCAGACACCCCCTCCCCCGAGCTGCTACCACTCTGGCCCTTTGTCACGTTGTTGTGAATCCCATTGATGCAACAATGAAAATTAGGCTGGGGAAAGGATCAAGGTTGAGGCAATCGCCAAGTAGATCCAGCTGCCTTTTTCAAAAGCCATATTCGGATCACAGAAATCGGGGCAAGTCGAGATCCCAAATCCAGGGAAAATGATAAGGTTGTGGGTTATTTTGTGTTTGTTTTTTTGTTGTGTTTGCCAAAACACGGATCGCTGCACCAGTGAAATGGAGACAGAGATCGCGCGGCTGCCCCCTTTCCTCTCTCTCTCTCTCTCTCTCCCCACTTTCTCTCTTTCTTTCTCTTCCTTCGTTCCTTCCAGACACCGCCGCCTTTTTTCGCAATCAGCGCTCCTGCTTGCTCAGATCCGCCCGCGCGGCAGCCTTTCCCACGCTCCTCCCTTCCAGATGGCGCTGCAGCCTCGCCGCATATCCGCGTCTTCCTGTAGTCCGCTCTAGGCGGCCTAGCTCTATGGCTTTAACTCTATTGGGCTTCACCAGGCAATCCAGTTCTCAAGCGTGGAATTACATCTTTACAGAGTATCAGAGTTGGAAGGGACCTTGTAGGTCGTCTAGTCCAACCCCCACCCCACCTATACCATTTCTCACAAGTTTTCAAACCTAATCTTGTGTAGCTTCTTCTCTGTTAATACTGTACTGCTAATTAGAGCATACAAAACATTTGCTAGTCCAATTCTCCAATACAGCTCATCTGAAGCTCTCTCTGGAACCTGCACTGCATATCGGACATTAATACAATTGAGCGAGTTCAGTGATATTTCACGGGAAGAGTCCTCCACTCCTCTGCTCACAACAGAATCCCTTATGCTACCAGGCTTGAAACTTTGGGCGTAGACAATTCAGAACTACGCCGCCTTCAGTCTGACCTAAGGGTAGTACATAAAATTATCTGCAACAATGTCCTCCTACCTATCAATGACTACTTCAGCTTCAACCACAATACATGAGCACACAATAGATACAAACGGAAGGTAAACTGCTCTAAACTTGATTGCAGAAAATACGACTTCAGCAACAGAGTGGTCAATGCCTGGAATGCACAGCCTGACTCTGTGGTTTCTTCCCCAAGCTCCCAAAACTTTAATGTTAGACTGTCTACTGTTGACCTCACCCCATTCCTAAGAGGTCTGTAAGGGGCGTGCATAAGCGTACCAGCGTGCCTACCATCCCTGTCCTAATGTCCCCATTTATTCATATCTATGTTCATGTATTCATAATCATGTTTATACTTATATCTGTTACCTTATACATGCTTGACAAATAATAAAAATAAAATAAAATAAATAAATGGCTGTCCAGTCTTTTCTTGAAAGCTTCCAGTGATGAAGCTCCCACAACTTCTGAAAGCAAGTTGGTTTGCTGTTCTTACTCTCAGAAAGTTTCTCCTTGTTTCTAGGTTGAATATTTCCTTGATCAGTTTCCATCCATTGTTCCTTGTCTTACCTTCAAGTGCTTTGGAAAATAGGTTGATCCCCTCCTCTCTGTGGCAACCCCTGAAGTATTGGAACATTTTTATTTTTGTACCCCCTCCCCTTCTGATTGTTAGCTGCCCTGAGTCTTCCGGGAATAGGGTGGCATACAAGCCAAATAAATCAAATCAAATTAAATCAAATTGCCATATCATCCCTTGTTCTTCTCTTTACTAGACTAGCCATGCCCAGTTCTTGCAACTGTTCTTCCTATGTTTTAGCCTCCGGGTTCTTAACCATCTTTGTTGCTCATCTCTGCATTCTTTCTAGAGTCTCAACTTTTTTATATTGTAGCGACCAAAACTGGATGCAGTACTCTAGGAATGGTCTTACTAAAGCTTTATAGAGTGGCATTAGTACCTCACTTGGTCTTGATAGAATCCCCGTTAATGCAATGTAGGATTGCATTGGCTTTTTTGGCTGCTGCCAGACAGGGCTGTCAAAATCTTAAGTTTGGGAGTTTCAGGAGGGTTGTTATAGCGGCTGGTGAAAAATCCACTTCCCTCCTTTATTTTTTGCCAATATTCAGAGATACTTAGCTGCTTGTCAAATTCACTTTTGTTTCTTTACTGAAAAATTAAGTCTGCCTTGTCCCAAAGGAGTTGGGCAACTGGACTTTGTTTTTCCTTGAAGATGTTTTGCTTCTCATCCAAGAAGCTTCTTCAGCTCAGTTCTTCAGACCTGAAGCTTTTGGATGAGAACAGAAATGTCTTCAAGGAAAAACAAACTCCAGTTGCCTCTTGAAAAAGCATCTTTGGGACAACCATGATCTGGACGACTGAGAATCTCCATAAGACAGTAAGTCCATCTTGTTTTCCTGACAATAAAAATGGAAATGAAGCTCCACTGCGCTGTGGTGGCACAGTGGTTAGAATGCAGTACTGCAGGCTACTTCTGCTGCCTACCGGCTGCCAGCAGTTTGGCAAGTTCAAGTCTCTCCAGCTCATGGTTGACTCAGCCTTCCATCCTTCCGAGGTTGGTAAAATGTGGATCCAGATTGTTTGGGGAAATATGCAGACTCTGTAAACTACTTGGAGGCCTGTAAAAGCACTGTGAAGCTGTATACAGTAGAACTTCTGCTCACGACCATAATTTGTTCCATAACTTTGGTCACAACCTTATTTGGTTGTGGCCCGAACCTAATTTTGGAAATCTGGCACTTACATAAAAAATGGCGCAAAGGAGGAAATTGGCCGTGGGGGGAAATTGTGAATTTTTTGGTTGGAACCCGATTTGGTCGTGGTCAGAAGCGTTCTACTGTATAATTCTAAGTGCTATTGCTATTGGTTCCCTCCATAATAACTCTTCTAAATGGTTTCTTGGTGGTCTCCCATCCCAGTACTAAGCGATATCACTATGGTTAGCTTCCTAGCCCAGCTAGAATCAATCTGAGTTTTCATCTGTGGAGAATTTACAAGTTGAGGCATTCGGAGGGTCCCAGAGGGTTGTGCCAGGAAGAAAATGAATGTAACTGTGGAGGAAGAGAATGAAAGTGTGCATTTCACAATCAGCAATAACAATTTTATTTCTATACATTCGTTTTCCTGCATATAAGTGCAAAAATATTTTTTTCCCAGCACTACATCATGGTTCTGGGTCCGTTTCCAACATTTTTAGACATTTAGCAAGTTTTGCTCTTAAAACAAGCCCTTTAGAAACTTTTCAGTTTATTAGGATTACTTAATTTTGTCCATGGAAAACAAGGCCGTCCATAAATAGTGAAAAAAAGACAAGTTGGCAGGCACAACAGTGCAGTCCATGTCCTGCCTGGTTTGTAGGTGCATTTCCTATTTGTTAACTCTACCTGTGGGTTAGGTCCAGCCCTGACAGCAGCAAGGATCTTGTGGGGGAAGGAACCGTGTTTCTAAAAAGTCTAATCAGGAAGAATAGAAATATGACAAAAATCCGGTCTCAGTTCACCTCTCATTCCGTCTGGGGAATTCTGGGAATTGAAGTCCGCACATCATCAATTTGCTAAGGTTGAGAATCAGCGATACAGTTTATTGATTTTAAATTGTTTTCATTTGAATTCTTTTCTTGCCAACTGTTTTTTTTTTTTTTTTAGAAATCAGCCATACAAACTATGTAAATATAAAATATCACCAAAGAAAATTACTATTACATTACATTGGTATGTCATTTGTATGCTCCCTGACTCTCAATGGCTCTGGATGGTATTTTAACCACAGGATTAATGNTGGAGGGGTTATCCTGCACACACATCCCAAGAGGAAAAACTGGAACTATGGGAGGTGCACTTTCTCCCTTCCTGTTTGCACATCATTTCCAGCCCTAAAGGGAGCTTTCCTTTGGTTTAGTTGCCGCTTCTGGCAAAGGAAGCTTCAGGCTCAGCTCCAGGGACAATGAAGGCCCTCTTGGGGGAACTGGAAGAAAAAGTTTGGGGATGGATCCTCAGGGAGAAAAGCTATCGATGAGCTCCATGGGAGTCGAATAGGACTTGATGGCACACAAGGAAGCCCGTAATCAATGAGAACATCTTGGTGGGTAGAACGAGCGTGTTCTTCCGCCTTATGTCGCTAGATGGCGCTCTACAAAGAAGCCACCCTCGCGCCTAGCAAGCAGGTACTGTACATCGATAACTATTCAAGGGAAGGGAGAGAGGCTGAGATTGAACGGGTTTAAACGACAGAGACTTGTATTGCCAGAGAGGACGTGGAGGAGAGGAGCCGAAGGAGAGTGGAATTTCCTCTTCCGGCTCATACGGAAGGCAGATGCCGTCGCTGGAGCCTCTTGTGCCGTTTGGAGGGTCGAAGCGGTTCCTGGGAGGTGAGTGGAGGGCAGGTGGGAGGAGAAGCCGGGAGCAAGTCGGGCCCTTCGGCTTCCTCCATGGCGTAGAAGCAGAGAAAGCATGGCTTCCTCCACGGCCTGGAAGCAGAGGAAGCAAAGAGGCTGAAACATGTGGGCTGCTGCAGCATATTCTTTTCCTCCCCAAATGTCATCCTTTTGCTGCATGGTTTAAAATTTCTGCCTCTGATTTTCTGCTGGGAGATTTAATAATTATTTATTTATGTTTCATATTTCTTAGCCGCCCAAATGGTTCAGCTTTCAGATAACGTTTGGTTATTTTATTGACATGTTGTTTTCCTGGCAAGCCAGGAGTTTCATGGGCAAAAACGGATGGTTTAAATCTTGCCTACAATTTAGGTAACATTTGTTAATTTCCCCACCTTTCTAAAATTAGATTAAAATAATTGAGCCAATGCACTTCTGGAGCATTTTGTAGACTGAAATATACATGGTTGTTTACATAAACAAATTCTTAGGAGTGTATATCTTGTGTCGATAGGCATGCATATATAGTGCCTTCAGACAGTATTCAGTATTCCTCTGGGGCTGTGTGATTTAAAATTGCTTCCTTTGATTTTCTGCTTGCAAATTTGGGGCATTTAAACAAATCTTTATATATTTTCCCTATTTCTCACCCTTTACGAAACATTGGATTCCTTGTGATTTTTTGTTTCCTGGCAAGTGAGGAGTTTCATGGGGAAAACGGATGCTTTAAATCTTGCATAGGATTTTGTCACCAAGCCATCTGTTAATGTCCCCAATTTTCCAAATTTACATCAAAAAATTAGAGCGAATGCACTTCTGGGACATAAAGATACATATAGATGGTCTACATAAATAAATTGATAGGTTTTTATTTCTGTGCTCATATGTGTGCATATAAGAGTGATTTACTCAAACCCAAAAGAGAATCTTATGATTTAGTTGATATCTGAACTTGGATCTTGGAGATCCAAGGAGAAAATGCACCTCTCTTAGTTCCAGATAGGTTTTCCTCTGGGAGTGGGGTGTAGAGGAACTCTTCAAACTTTCCTCTACAACTTAGCAAAGGTATTAAGATTGAACCTTGACCTCTTTTCTCCTCTGGGATTTTATTTTCATAAATTTATTTACATAAATCCATAGTCGTCTATATGCCAAATGAATGGTAATTAATGTTAGAGGTTGAATTAGAATGTTGGTGTTAGTTTTTTGATGGTATATGGGGGTTTATTTATTTATTGCTGCTTTCACATGTTCTCCAGCCATTCTTTAAACAATAATGAAACTAACCATTAAATATGAATCTTACAGAAAAAGAGCAAGAAGAGCACTCTGGACAACAGAATGAGAAGCAGCATTAAAATGCAAAACAAACCATCAATCAAAATATTTTCCATTTCCTTCAGAAAGTATAAAAACACTTCTCCTTCCTCGGCAGAGAAACAAAGGAGAGAATAACAAGGAAAATAGAATTTGTAGGACATAAAAAGTCAAGGGGGATCATTTCCAAATTCAGAAAAAGTAGGAAATCGCTGGAAGTTGGTGGGAAGGAAAAGAGCTTTTGGATGGCCAAAAAGGGCAGGCATTAATGAAATCCTTTGAGGAAGGAAAGAGTGACTTGAACCAAACAAACACCAGGTAAGAGATCAGAAATATTTTTTGCCACCTCAAGAATCCAAGAATATCAGTGTTGGAAAAACTCCACAGTGCCTAATGTGGGGAAAACGCTAATTGCAGATCACATCTGAGTTATGCATGTCAATCCACCCCGTGAAAATGCATATAAATGTTTGGAGTGCAGCAAATGCTTTATTGAGAACAGGTCATTGTTTAATGGGGCCCATGTGGCAAAAAATTTAGCATGCAAACCAATCTGGTGATACACAAGATGACTCATACTGGAGAAAAACCTTATGATTGTCTGTATTGTGGGAAACATTTCCAACATAATTCCAAGCTGGCGATACACCAGAGGACTCACACAGGAGAGAAACCATATGAGTGTCTGTATTGTGGGAAACGTTTCAGTCAGAATTGCAACTTGGTGAAACACCAGAGAACTCATACAGGAGAAAAACCATATGAATGTGTGGATTGTGGGAAAAGTTTCAAACAGAACTCCAACCGACTTGTACACCAGAGAACTCATACAGGAGAGAAACCCTTTGAATGTCCTGATTGTGGGAAAGGTTTCAGTTATAATTCCAACCTTTTGAAACACCAGAGGACTCACACAGGGGACAAACCATATGAATGTCCAGATTGTGAGAAAGATTTCAATTGGCACTCCGACTTGGTGAAACACCAGAAGACTCACACAGGAGAAAAACCATATGAGTGCCTGGATTGTGGCAAAAGTTTCAGTCGGAATTCCCACCTGGTGGAACACCAAAGAATTCACACAGGAGAGAAACCATATGAGTGTCCTGATTGTGGGAAAGGTTTCTCTCGGAATTCCTATCTAGTAGTACACCAGAGAAATCATACAGGAGAGAAAATGTATGAGTGCCAAGTGTGTGGGGAAAGTTTCAGTTGGAAGTCTGAACTGGTGAAGCACCAGAAGTCACATAGAGGGGAGAAACCATTTCAGTGTCTGGATTGTGGTAAAAGTTTCAATTGGAATTCTGCTCTCTTGATACACCAGAGGACTCACACAGGAGAAAAACCATATGAGTGTCTCGAATGTGGGAAAAGTTTCATTCGAAATTTCGACTTAGTGATACATCAGAGGATTCATACAGGAGAGAAACTGTATGAGTGTCCGGATTGTGGAAAAAGTTTCAGTCAGAATTCTCACCTGATGTTACACCAGAGGACTCACACAGGAGAGAAACCATATGAATGTATGTATTGTGGGAAAAGTTTCAGTCATAATTCCAACCGGATGAAACACCAGAGGACTCACACAGGAGAAAAACCATATGAATGTCTCGAATGTGGGAAAGGTTTCAGTCAGAATTCATACCTGGTGAAGCATCAGAGAATTCACACAGGAGATAAACCATATGAGTGTCTCGAGTGTGGGAAATGTTTCTATCGGAATTATGACTTGATGATACACTGGAGGACTCACACAGGAGAGAAACCATACGAGTGTCCAGATTGTGGCAAAGATTTCAGTATTAGGTCTAACCTTATAAATCATGTTAGGTTACACACAGGGGAGAAACCATTCAAATGCCCAGATTGCGAACAGTGTTTCACACGGAATTCCTCTCTTATCGCACACAAGAAATTCCACATAAGGCAGAATTTGATGTGTGTAGAGGAATCTTGAATTTCGTTTCTCATTTCTTATCGGAAGCCCCGCTGAGAGATTAATAATTTGATTTCTTGCATGATTCTTTTTAGTCAAACGTGTCTTAGTATCAAACATGGGGAAGGAAATCTGAGCTTTCTTTCTCTGGCTCAGTGCGGTGGTTCCCTTTCATGGAGTCGAGGGCAACTGCCATTCTGGGCCAGAAAAAACAACCTTGGCTCTCTATTAGATATGTTTGCCACCTTGATTTATTTCTACATATAATAAAGGGGGATCTAAATATGTATGCATGTTTTTATTACAAAAATCTATATGGTAGAGCAACTCATGATGATCCAGTTTACAGCAATAAAACCTTAGTACAGTCAGTGGTGGGATTCAAACATTTTTACTACTGGTTCTGTGGGCGTGGCATGGCTTTGTGGGCGTGGCAGGGGAAGGATCCTGCAAAATCCTCATTCCCTCCCTACTCCTGGGGGAAGGATACTGTAAAATCTCCATTCCCTCCCCACTCCAAGGCAAGGATACTATAAAATCTTCATTTCCACCCCACTCCAGGGCAAGGTTACTGTAAAATCCCCATTCCCTCCCTACCCCACTAACCTGCTTTCCAGCTCCATTCTCCTGTGCAGAGCAACAGAAGAAGACCCAGCCGATCAGCTGGGACTCAGGAGGCAGCAACTAGGTGGGAGTGGAGCCAGCCAGAGGTCATATTTGTCGGTTCTCTGAGCTGCTCAAAAGTTCTGCTACCGATTCACCAGAACCGGTCAGAACTGGCTGAATATCACCTGTGCAGAAACAAATAAACCCCATATTTCAAAATGCAAACCCTTCGCATTTAACATTTACTTGGCCTGCCAATACAGGGCCCTTCTAGCAAGGTTGATGGCATTTTTATGATCAGGGAGTTCCAAAAAAGTAAATCTTGCTTTTGTTCAATTTAGAAGTCAACCAGGCCACCTGGCCTTGTTTGTTTGTTTATAGGATTTATATGCCGCCCTTCTCCCAAAGGATTCAGGACGGCGTACAATATTAAAAAAACACATATTACAAAAGTTAAAAAGGAAATTAGATAGAGTATCCAAAAACAAANTTTTTTTTTTTTTTAGAAATCAGCCATACAAACTATGTAAATATAAAATATCACCAAAGAAAATTACTATTACATTACATTGGTATGTCATTTGTATGCTCCCTGACTCTCAATGGCTCTGGATGGTATTTTAACCACAGGATTAATGTATCTAATCACAAGAGAGATAATCAAGCAGGCCTCAATAGAACTGTGAGGGTGAGGAATGAGTGTGGGCCTATGAGGGCCATTCTAGACAAAGAAAATTCCCCTTTTGCTTTCCCAATATTTCCTACTGAATTGCAGCTCCTCTCTCAAAACATGCATGGATCTCAATATATTCACAAGGCATCCAACTGCACAGATCGATATCCCTTACGGAGATCAACCCCCTGATCTATTTTATTTATTTGTTTATTAGTATCCCATCTTTATTACGTTTACAAATAACTCAAGGCGGCAAACATATCCAACACATCTTCCTCCTCCTATTTTCTCCACAATAACAACAACCCCTGTGAGGTGAGTTACACAGAGAGAGAGAGAGAGTGACTGGCCCAAGATCATCCAGTTGGCTTTCATGGCTAAAGTGGGATTACAATTCACAGCCTCCTGTACCAAGATTTGAGGGAAGCGTCATTTTTAACCTGCCTGCTATGCTAGAGGTTGAACAAAGTACTTCAGTGTGAAACAAGCGCTTCTTTATAACACTTTAATGTGTCAATATTTTTCAAAGCCATCATCCTTGTTCCTTGTGCTTCCTCTCTGCTGTCTGATGTTTCCCCCCAACGCTAGTATCGTTTTCACTATCTCTGAGAATGCATGGTAGACCCGAACACCAACCTTGTCCTCCAGGACGTCGCTTCTGAGTGGATTTTCCTATGTTTACGAAGCATGGAGGAATGAACAGAACCTTTCTCTCCCACTGAGCATCTTGATGGTTTCCCTCAGGGATGAATCCACTGGCAGGCCATTTTCTAATGGATATTTTCCCGCCACAGAAAAACTTTATGGGGCTTCCGGTGTGCTCGTGTGCACCACGATAGGCTTTCTGGATTTGAGCTAGAAAGAAAGTCTTTTCGTATTGAGGACACACCCCTGTGGCCTCTCCTAGGTGGGCTCTTGTGTAGAACACAAGCTGTGATTGAAGATCTGCATTCTGCCTAAGCGCTGATACCACTTCTGTAATGCTTCATTTTTCACCAGCCATCCTCTCTCGTTGAAGCTTTTGCCAAGGTCTAAATAAATACTTGTGAAGCTTCTCACCCTGGAGTGTTTAAAAGATGGCAGCTTTTAAACTTGGAAGCATTCATACGGCTTCTCTCCTTCGCTCGTGTTTGATGAGGGCATCTCACCCAATGAAACTTTTGCTGCAGTTGAGCGCATTTATGTGGCATTCCTCCCCCCTCAGAAACTTGACCAGAATGCCCTTTTCCCCAAAAAGTTTTTTCCACATTCAGTGCATGTGTACAGCTTCTCTCACGCATAGAACTTCTCATGTTTAATCAGAGTTGATTCTGCGGTGAAACTTCTCCTGCAGTTTGAAGGCTTATGTGGCTTCCTTCCGGTTTGGATGGTCTTCAGGAGATTTGCTTAGAACCAAAAAAAATTCCGCGCTCTGAGCAAACATGATTTTTTTTTTCTTGTTGAGGGTTTTCCCTGTGGAATAAATGGGGTTTGCTGTTAATGTTCTCAAAGAGTATATTATTTACGCAGTTATCCTTTACTTGCACATTCAAACACTGATAGTTGCACATCATCTCTGGTGCCTCTTAAATCCAGACTTGGTGCCCCCGCTGAAAATTGGCTTCGTTCAAACTTTGATTGCCATCTTCAGGCAGGAAAGTTTCATTGGCTTTCTTTGCTGTCTGCTTTTGTACTCCTGGTGGATGTACTGGCTTTCTTTAATCCTGGAACCCCAGAGAAGTGATCGTTTGACTCCTTTTAATGGAATCTTCCAAAATCTATTTCTTCAGATTTTCCCACCTGGAAGGTCTTCTTGTTATGAGTTGTCCCATATCCACCATATTCTAAGAGAAACAGAAAAGTGTTTATGTCACATTGCCCCCCAACAATGAATTTCATTTACAAAAATGTCTGGTAAAAATTCCAGCGTTGATGGAAGCAACTAGTCTTCCTTCTTCCATTTGACCTTGTCTCTAAAGACCAACTTGTGTTCTCCCTCCTGTTTGGCTTAGGAAATCCCTAATTCAAACAGAATAAGAGAGTTGGAAGAGACCTTAGAGGTCTTCTAGTCCAGCCACCTGCTCAAGCAGGAGACCCTATATCATTTCAGGCAAGTGGCTGTCCATTCTCTCAAGCATCCTCATGTGATGGTTTTGAGCATCTGTCTCAGACCTCGGTTTGGGAGACCTCCCCATCAAGAAGACTCTTTTTGAAGCTGGCAGTGTTCACATATCACTAAGCAGCCATTGATTTACTTTTAAAGCATTCATTTAATGGGC